ATGAACAGACACTTCTCCAAAGAGGACATCCAGATGGCCAACAGACACATGAAACGATGCTCAGCATCCCTCCTCATCAGGGAAATACAAATCAAAACCACACTGAGATACCACCTCACGCCAGTCAGAGTGGCTAAAATGAGCAAATCAGAGAACTCTAGATGCTGGCGAGGATGTGGAGAAACGGGCACCCTCCTACACTGTTGGTGGGAATGTAAACTGGTACAGCCCCTCTGGAAAACAGTGTGGAGGTTCCTCAGGAAACTAACAATAGAACTCCCTTATGACCCAGCAATAGCACTGCTAGGAATTTACCCAAGGGATACAGAAATGCTGAGGCATAGGAGCACATGTACCCCAATGTTCATAGCAGCACTCTCCACAATAGCTAAAACATGGAAAGAGCCTAAGTGTCCATCAACAGATGAATGGATCAAGAAGATGTGGTTTATCTATACCATGGAATACTACATGGCAATGAGAAACAATGAAATCTGGCCATGTGTAGCAACATGGATGGACCTTGAGGGTGTTATGCTGAGCGAAATAAGTCAGGCAGAGAAGGACAAATACCATATGTTTGCACGTATAGGAGGATTAGGAGGAACTTGACGGAGGAACAAGGGGGAGAAGAAGGGCGGAAATGGTGGGGGAAAGGGAGAGAGGCAAACCATGAGAGACTCTTGAATGCTGACAAAAACTGAGGACTGATGGATGTGGGGGGGAGGGAGGATGGGCATGGAGGAGGGCACTTTGGGGATGAGCACTGAGTGTTATGTAGAAACTAATTTGACAATAAACTATTTGTAAAAAAAAAAAAAAAAAGTATTTAGCACAGTGTATTGATAGATCGAGACACCTTCCGCCTCTCTTGGTTGCTAGATCGGAGCAAATGAAGCAAATAATTCAGCCATTACTTTCAGTGTTTGTTTTTGTTTTGTTTTGTCTTCTTTTTAGCATCCCTGAAGAAACTGATACCCTTGTAATACTCTGCTACTGACTCTGTTCTAGGATCCACCATCAGTCATTAGGGCAGTAAGTACAAAATTGTGGAGCCTCCAGCCTAGATAGGTACTAAGGACTGAAGGAGGTGGGGCAGAGCAGCGCTGGCCCTGGGGAAGGGGAAGGGTATGAGAAGGAAAAGAAAGTCCCTTGCCTCAAGTTAGGCACCCTTATGGCTGGGACACACTGGGTCAGTGAATACGTAACTGGGAGCTTGTGAAGCCCAGGAGGAGACTGAGTCCTTGTGCTTTTAGAGTTGTTGGAAATGCTAAGAGGGCTCTCCCAGTGGCAGAAACTCCCGGTAACTTTGGCTTTCTTTTGGGGAATATAGTAGAGATCGTAAGCCACGGCCAGAAATACTGGAAGAGATGGCTCTACCGGAAAAGGTTTCATGGGGAAAAATGGGGAGAATATAAAGTGAGGGACGAAAGAAACTAAAGCGAAGAGTTCTTTAAGTGCCACTTAAAATCCCCAGACTTCTTAAATCATAGCCTTTTGGGATCACGTGGCATAGACATGCAACTGCTCTGTGCTGTCTTTCTAAAAAGATCTGAACTCTTTTTCCAACAAAGGAATATCTACTGTTTTTACACTTAATCAGCTATAATGAAGGAATATGAAGAGCTGTCATGTGCTTATTAGGGAAAATTATCAGATATTCTTTTATATGATGAAGTAACACACTAAGCTGATAATTCTATAGTGCACACTAAATTACAATTAAAGGCCTTTCTGCTCCACCAGAATCTCATTTATAATCTCTATGGAAATATTCTTCCTGCAGTTATTTCATTTATGCTTCCTTTATCTAATTACTATAATATTGGTTCTGAATCATATTTTCCTAATGTACCCTTATTCAATTATAAAGTTATTTTCAAGTACAGTTACTTTCTAATATCAAAGAATACCACTTGCCCATCTATGCCATTTGTCATGCTTCTTAATTGCAGATTGTTTCTGAGCCCGCTTTTTCCTCCACTTTTAAGTAGGGTGAAACTTCTATAAAACAAAATCTATTGAATTATCCTAGTTTTTTTTTTTTTTTCAAAATAATGGCTTGCAATGAATGTCCTGATCATGAAATGTACAAAATTAGATATTCCCCATTTTATGCACGTTTCATACATCCTATTGTTTTGCTGGGTTTTGAGAAAAACGTACCTGGAAGAAATACTCTTGGATCCCTCATGTTCTGTGTTTTTATTTTCAGGAATGTCTGTTGAAGGGTTATTTCTGACTTGATTCTTTTAGCCTGGAGAGGCCAGGTTAAGAATACGGATGCATGAAAATATTGAGTCAATACAATATCAGCCTCTTTAAGACAGTTTTCTAAAGGTAGGAGGCACAAAGCTTTTAGAAATGACAATGTAGTTTGGCACTCTACAAGTCCATCTGTGTGATTCCCGTGAACAGGGACTGGATGGACCCTTGTAGATGGATGTCTGCACATGAGAGACCCGGTAGCTAATCCGTATCAGTTTGGTTTCCTGTACCAGCTGGGCTCACCAGGGAGACAGACTTACAGAACAAAAAGTTTTTAAGGGTGAGAATTTAAAAAACTTAATGAATGGGCTATGTCTCAATGCAAGTTTATTTCCTAAAGACCTAAGTGACCAAAGGGTGGAATGACTGGTCTCCAAGTTCTCAACGTAAAATAATCTCTTACAAAGATCCAGAGCAATGTGTAATTATCTAAATAGCTTATGCTGCAGTGGTGTCTCAGGAATTCTCAAATTTAGCAAACAACCATTAAACTAAAAAGAGAAGTGTTTCCTATTGAAGACTGTTTCTACTTATTTCAAATTCTCCAACAAGCAAAAATGAAACTGTAAATAACTCCTCTCATTCTTATTCCGTTATAAAATGCTCTGTTGGTTAAATAACTCATTCAAATGAGTGAGTCTCTCTTATTTGTGACTTTTAAAGAGCAATAAATAACTGGATTTCATGACAGCTTGTGATGATGACCAGGATCCCTTATGTGATCTAACCATGGAGTCCTCTGGGCTTCTAGGAAAGGAGGCCACAGGGCCAGAAGCCAGCTCTCCCTCTCCTCTGTCCACTAGATGCCACGGCTGGACCAGCCCTCAAGTGGTCACATGGGTTCTAGGATTTAAAAAGAAAGGTCTTCCATGCAAAGAATTTGGAGCAGAGCTTTGGTCTTTCCCTGAGGCCCTGTTCTCTGGTAATGAGCTGCCCAACCTAGGTTAACAAAGGATTTAGTACTTTATAGTCTTCATTTCATTTATCAGGTCTCTTTAGTTTTGAGAAATCAACTCAGCAATGGTTTTTGTAAGGGGGGGTAAATTACATCATTAAGTATCTATTAATTATAAAATGACATATTTAAATTTTTAAAAAATGTTTTATTTATTTTTGAGAGAGAAAGAGAGAATGAGCTGGGAGAGGCAGAGAGAGGGAGACACTGAAGAGGGAGAATCTGAAGAGGCTCCAGGCTCAGAACTGTCAGCACAGAGCCAGGCGTGGGGCTCTGACCCATGAACCATGAGATCATGACCTGAGCTAAAGTCGGACGCTTAACCAACTGGCCACCCAGGTGACCCTAAAATTACATATTTTAAAATTAAGGAAAAAAAGAAAATCATTAGACCAGTCCTATGAGGCTTACTCACTATGCCCTTTTCACATGTGAGGTCTCTGCAGAGTAAGATAACTTGTCCAAGGCCACACTGAAGGATAGAGTCAGAATTCCTTCCTAGAGCTCTGTATTTGGACTACACTGCACCACACCTTTTGATACCCAGTTGTCCTTTACTTTTCACCTAGATTTGGCCAGCTCATGCATGGCCTTTCATCTTGGCCTCGTCAAGGGCCATCACCCCTCCCCCTCCTCACGTAAACCTTCCCGGCTGCAGCCACAGGGGATACTGTGGAATTACTCTCTGATTCCAGAACATTTTCATTACCTCAGAAAACCTCTACGTGTGTATATTCATATGTACAAAATCGATATGGATAAGTGTTATTTCATTTAACAATATTGTGTCTTACTTACTATGCAGGATGAATGTTGATATTATCTTCCATTCCATTTCATTCCATCAATTCCATTACATGAAAAAAAACAAAACAACAACAACAACAACAAAAACCTTTGGGCAGCTGGGTAGCTCAGTCCGACTTCAGCTCAGGTCATGATCTTGCAGTTCATGGGTTCAAGCCCCACACTGGGCTCTGTGCTGACAGCTCGGAGCCTGGAGCCTGCTTCGGATTCTGTGTCTCCCTCTCTCTCTGCCCCTCCCCTGCTTGCACTCTGTCTCTCTCTCTCAAAAATAAATTAATATTAAAAATTTTTGTTTTAAAAATCTTGCAGTGACTCACCACACCGATGCCGTGTCCCATCATTCGAGGTGTAACAGAGTTGGGGAAACTTTGCCCTACATGATGGCAGGTCTCCCTGTCCTGCATGTCCCAGCACCAGTTTCTTTGCCTTGCAAGACGCTGCTCAGCACCTGGGCCGCTACTTGGTGAATTATTTGTCCTCCGGGTAAAACTTTATATTCCAGGAAGGCAGAGCCTGGACCGGCCTTGTTTCGACTCTACCCCCAGCGCCTGGTGCAGTGAAGGAGTAGCTACACAGTAACTATCCGTGGACTGAGTCAGTGTGTGCCTCGAAAGGGAAAAATAAACCACCACCCTCCTTTTCTTTAGTGTTCACAGAAGCAAAAGGAAATGCAATAAAAGTACCATCTAGCCCTTAGTACCAGTGTAAGCCAGCAGATCTGTAGCCTGCTCTTCCAAATAGGGACTTGGCCTTGAATTATCCATACAGTGTCTCAGTGCTTCATTCACCTTGCCTTACAAATTCAGCTTGAGCAGCCGGTCGCCAGGACCCTACAGCGGAGCTCTATCAAACACATGAACAGCGGGGGCCCAACAAAAAGCCTCAGCAAAAGCTTCGCTGTGAATCGGCCAGCAACGGCGTGTCCTCACCCTCCCCTGCGGCCCTCCACTCCCCACCCCGCGCCCTCTACCTGTCCTTGCCAGTCTCCTGCTTGAAGAGCTCATCGAACTGCAGCATCTTGTGGCGCGTGGTCATAAAGGCCTTCAGGCGCGGCAGCACGCGGCTCAGGAGCTGCAGGTTGTTGTAGACCTGGCCCTTGCCGTCGCGCCGCATGTAGCTGCTGGGGCCCCAGAAGATGAACACGGTGCCCTGGCTCACGTTGAGCAGGTCCTGGCGGTTGCGGAGGATCCTCTGGATGCTAGAGTGCGCGATGACCCTCAGGCTGGTGCGGTTGCCCACGTCGCGCCCGTAGCCGCGTGTGGGAGCGTCGTTCATGCGGATGACGCACTCGGTCTGGTCGATCTGCGGGCCCTGTCGGCTGCGCAGCAGATGCCCCGAGCTGGTCACTAGGGCACAGTCCCTGCAGTGCATTTTCAGGGGCTGGAAGGCAGAGGGAGAAGGACACCATCAGCAGGCAACCCTCTCATGGCACTGCCAGGTGATTTCACGGCCTCAGAAGGCGGCCAGTCTTCCCTCTCCTGCCTCCCATGCCGGAATAGACTTGTCCTGCTATTACCTCATCCACTCTTACATTCTCCCCCAGATTGGCGACAAGGGGCATTTGACAAGATGTAAAGAGAGCTTGCACTGACTTGTCAAACAATGGGCTCTAGGCTTTACTGATAATCCCCATAACCCAGCAAGGTTGCTTCACTGCCATTTTACAGATGGGAATTCTCAAGCTCGGAGAGGTTAAAGAATTTGCTCAAGGATGTGTAACTAGGAAGTAATCAAGTCACGCTTTCAAACCCAGGTCTTTCTGAATCCAATGTTACCCCAAACTGAAGTAAAGACTCTACTACATTTTGCTAGGACGATAGATCTTAGCTCACTTTATTGAAAGCTAAGTGTTTATCAATATTCTTGGCTGCTGTACAAATATGTTTATCCTAAATAAACATCGTCTGAGAATCACAGGGGGGAAGACATGCAAATTGTAATCCCTTGGATGCCATAATTTTGAAATGACAACTAGGACAGTTTTTCCCATTTTAAGGGGAGAGGGAGTGAAGTTGAGCTGGTCTATCTTCAAAAATGTAAAAAAAAAAAAAAAGCCTCAAGCTCAGAGCCACAGACCTTGAAAGTTGTGGCTGTGTGGTGCCCACCAAGGACAACTCCAAGGACAATGCTCATTTCAACCCTGAACCAATGATTTGCTTTCTGAACACCTATGCTCTGACAAATTAAACATTCCCCTGTTTGTGTTTAATGAGAAATATCTCTTAGTTGCTGTTTGAAGATAATGTAATTAGGACCTGAGGCCAAGGCCAGCAAGTGCCTAAGAAAATTACAATCAAAAATGTTCTGAAGGAAAGTAGCATTGTTAGACTTGCCCCAGAGCCTCTGCCCTTCCTCCCTGTTAACTCTGAACAGGGCACACTGGTTCCCTGCATAATCTCAGGAAGCTGGATCCAGTTTAGTGCTTATATTTACTTGGGGGTTCCTGAACTATAGCTCTGCCATCAGAAACAGACGATGGCACCCGAGGACAGCCACCTTTCCTCGCCACATAATGGCAAAGGGCACCAGCTCTGGGAGCTTACGAGACAGACCCAGCCTCATCTCCACTATCTATTACCTGTGGGACCTTGGTAAGCTACTGACCTCTGTAAATCTCAGGTTTCTCATCTCCAGATGAGGATAATTAATGCCCCATTCTACCTTGGGAGAATTGAAATACACACATTACACTGGGCCTTTTGCAATTGTCAATACTTGGCCTGTAAAAATAGCAACTGCAGGCAGTTGAACCCAAACCTTACCATCGGACCTGGCACAGTGATCATTCAGTAACGACAGCTGCTATTGGGATTATCTGTCAGAGTGGAGTGCACTGCAGATACTCACTAAATCAGTACTGATCACTTTGGGTTGATAACTGACATACAAGCTTATGAAATGGAGACTCTACCATTGCAAATTCTCATCATTCATTTGACATCCAAGTACTCTGAGGTGACAGGCACTATGATGGGCAGTAAGAATGCAAGTGGAACGAAACAGCAGAACCCTTCAAACTTTATCCTTTAGTGAGGGACAGCGGGTCAGCAAAGGCTCACAGTAAAGTATGCCAGCATGAGAAGGGGGACTGTGTGAAAGTGTTAGTAAATGGGTCTATATTTAGAGCACAGCACGTTGGGGGACATGAAAGAAAGGGCACTTTCCCTAATTGTGATTAGATATCTCCATGTGCCAGGCACTCTTCTGAGCTTTTTATATAGTTGCATTAATTCCTCAGATAACCCCTTAAGAAAGATATTATATTAACCCTCCCCCCCGTATTTTACTAATGAGAATATTGAGGGATAGAAAAGCAAGACCATACAGTTAGGAAGTGGAAGAGCCAGAATTCAAACCCAGAAAATCAGACTGCAGAGCCCATGGGATTAACCATCATGGTTAATGGCATCCCAGTGCAGTAGAGTAAATAGAATATAGAAGAAATGCCCTAAGATGTTTTCTTAATTCATCGTCTTCTTCTTTTCCTCTCTCAACCCCAGAAGCTAAGTGATGCTGTTTCTTAATCATTAGTGCTGTTACTGCTTTCAGAGCATTGGGCTGGGTGGATGCAGTAAAATGACAAAAGTCTTGTATCCAATACCTCCATTCCTTGGAGCCCCATTAACAGTAGACCCATCCATCTAGAGAGTGAAATGTACTTAAGACCAAATCTTCCTTTTGAGGAAGAGTCACATTACAGATGTGTAGAAAGTGGCCCCCATTTCCTTCAGGGAAACTCCTGGAACCTGGAACACGAGGCCCTTCTGAATCCCCTGAGCGGTTTGAGGGGCAAGTTCACGGGCCAAAGGATGGCAGAAATACTTAATTTTCCCTTTTCTTATTTTACCTGCATATCACATACATACTGAATGAAGAGGGAAAGTTAAACGATCTATTCAATCATAGAGTTCCTACCATGTGTCAGACACTGAACTTGGTGATATAGATAAAAAGACAAATGAGATCTTGTCCTTCCTCTCAAGGAAGCACACAATCTAAGGCAAGAGTGCCCCCAGATAAATAATTACAGGACTGTGGAGTAAGTGCTCTAATAAAGTCAAGTACAAGGGGCCATGGGGCCAAAGGCGAGAAAACATTTGAGCCCGTCTGGAAGAGCTAGAGAGGCAGGAAGACAGCTGTGGAAGGTCTGTGCAATGGAAACCAACGGAAGAGATTACGTTAAAGAGCCAGTGGTCAGTGGCGTCATGAGACATGATAGGACAAGCGAAACCAAACTTGGAAAGTGTTCTTTGGATTTGGCGGCCTCAGCCAAAATCAACTCAATGGAACAGAAGTGGCAGAGCCTGGTTTCGGTCGGCTGTGAGGACGTGGAGGCGGATACTTGGCACAAGGAGGGCTGACGGAGGGTTGCCGGCAGGGCAGATGCTGACACTTGGGCTGACCAGCCCACCCAGTTTGTTAGGGGTTGTTTGGGTTTCAGCACTGAAAGTCCTGTGTCCTGGGAAAGCTCTACTTGTGGGGAAGCCCCCTAAAAAAATTCTTACAAAATTGACAGAAGCATCTGCAAATATCACATCACTCAGTGAGGATTAGGGATTAGGGGAGACCCAGGGTCTGAATTTTACAAGTCATGTCCTTGACTTTCTCACCCGTGAGACAAAGAGGAGGTCAACCAGATACTTGTGACCACATGACATTCATTCATTCATTCATCTGAAAGACACGGAGCACTCGGTACACCCCTGAGGTACTGTGTAGCTCAGTACATTTGTTTAATAAGGTCACTTTGTAGGACTTCATCTTATTGGACCCTATAACCAGGGAACCTGCTTTTTCTCATCAGACTCACCTAGAATTATTGCCTTGAAATTTTGAGTTTGACTGATCATTGCGAGACATTGTGCTTCCTTTTCCTGGGGAAAACATTCTGAAGAAAAGTCCCAGCATCTGTTTCCCCCATAATTAATTACTCTGCTGTGATTCTCAGAGCACAGGCTGGCTGACAGGTGAAACCTGGGTCTCCTACGGAGACTGAGGTGCCTTCTCTCTGTCTCTTATGTGCGCGTGAGGCCAGTGGACAGCCCTTTCAGGGAAGGTCACGGTTCCTGATGGTGCCATACTGATCCTCTGTGTTAACCGGGCACCCTCAGAGCACATCGGGTCCAACCAGTCCAGAAACCCCTCCCTCAAGGTTCCCGTCCATCTGCCTTAGCTCCGAGGTTGATTACCTCAGGCGACAACACCCACTCTTCGAGTTGTGCAGACGCACCAAACAATGCAAAAAAGACTGAAGTCTGAATTATGCCTTAAGTGTCTTTTGGTAAGTGGTGCCAATAAAATGACAATAGCTGTTCTAAACATAATGTTACATTTCCCGCAGCTGAGAAGAGCATGTACCAAAGGCTGAATCACTTCCAAAGGAGGAAATGAAGTCTGTTTTCTGCATTTGGAAGGACTGATGACGCCTTGGGAGGCAGGGTGACTAGAAATTATACAAACGCTGTGACCCTGTTTCTCAGGATGCATTATAGTCCTCCGAGAGAACCATGCTCCTCCACATCTCAGTATGATTATAATCCTTAGTGTCTTAATGATATGGGTGGAAATATGCATGCCTTGGTGAGTTAAGATTCCTGAGGCAGTGTTCACATATTCTTCCCTGAAGCACTCAGATGCTGGGCTGATGAATCACTAAGCAGAGGACGGGAAGGTCAACTTGCAGTTCTGCTAGCGGCCTGGGAGATAAAACTCCATGGAGGATGCAAGAGTGGGAGGCAGCTCCCAGCGAACTCACTGGCTAGCAAGGCCTTCTCTCCCACTTCCTCCTCACAGTGTTCAGTCTCCCTGATTCTTGGGGACATTTTCCTTAAAGCCCCATTTAGTGAGGTATTCCGTCCTATGGTAGGAAACACGGGCACTCATATAAGGTCACTGCGATCTTGGTAATCCGCTTGCTTCCTGACCCATCAGAGGCGCTCAATTAATACGGAATAAAAGGATGGGCTGATAAGTGAGTGAGTGAGACCCAATCACCTGCCTTCTCTGTTCCCTGAGAAAACCAACCTGCTGAGACATTAAAAGAAGGCATAAGGGATGCCTGGGTGGCTCAGCTGGTTAAACGTCCGACCTTTGATTTCAGCTCAGGTCATGATCTCGTGGTCATGAGATCGAGCCCCCTCATCGGGCTCTGCACTGGGTGTGCAGCCTGCGTGGGATGCCCTCTCTCCTCTCTCTGACCCTCCCTGGCTCTATACATACATACATACATACATACATACATACATACACACACACACACAAATAAAAATTAAAAATAAGAAGACATAATGTGGCACCCTAACCAAACATTTGCCTAAAGACCCCAGCCCTCTGCGCTAACGCCACAGAGAGAAAAAGGGGGAGTGCAATGTGGAAACCTCTGTCTGGAGAAAAGGAAGCTATGGCCATTTGCCTCAGGACAGCCTCTTCGTCCAGGGAGCTATAATGGCCAGGGCTGAGGGCGCTGCCTGGAATTAATGGCTGACTAGGAAAATGGCCCAGGACACAGTGAGGGCCATTAAGCCCAGCCAGTTATTAATCCCCAGTAAGAACTTGATACCA